ATGTACTCTACCAAAAACTCAAATCCTCTTTAACTTCCATAGAAGGAGCTTCAGGAGAAACACTCTAAGATATTACCATTCTCTGGTTTGAGAGTCAATTATCTTTTGTTTCACTCTCCCAAAAGAAGTCTTTAGGTGTTGGATTGTGGCTAGAAACACCACTGCCTAAAGACATTTTGCAGAGGAGCAAATATACTAATGGTGAGCTACATTTCCCAGAAGATGGAAACTGTAGAAGAGTTCAAAGATAAGATGGGAATGGTTTAAACACATATTCATTGTTAAAACGTTTAACCAAACATTTTAATACTATTTGCTTAAATGATGACATCATTTTACATCTTTAAATTCATTTGAAAAGATAAAACATTTTTACTCTTCATAAAAGGGGATTTGTCTGTAATGACATGTTGTTTAAGGAAGTATTAGATATAATTTTGGAAATTATTTGTAATATGATTACTTTTTCATATTACTAACCAGATTCCTAAAACTGTTTTAGTCCTTAAAAACAAAATATATTTTATTATAGTAAAAAAGTCATCAATTTCCGTCCAAATCCTTCTTAAATTATGGAAAATTTAGCAGAGTAATCAATTAATTGTTAACCAAATAGATTTATTCAACTTATCCCTTAAAAAAGGTCAGAGAATCCAACCTCTAAAACTGTATTTTTTTTAGTAATAAATGATACATTTAAAATGTTATTTAAAATAATAAGACAAAATTAAAATTGTGTGTATGTGTGTGTATATACATATATATGCATTTTTTACCTGAATATGGTTCATCACATTCACAAATGAAACTATTTTCAGTAATATTGCTGCAATTCCCATGGAAACAGATACGTGGTTTACATTGGCCAATTATCTCTGAACAATTTATGCCTGCAAAAATTAAAAAAGAATATTTTTGAATAGATTAAAATATTTACATTGTATAAAAATGGTTAATTATGATCATCAATTACCTCGAATTTTTCAATAATGAATAATATCAAATTTTAGACAAAATGTAATTCTAAGAAAGAGT